CAACTTTAGACACAATTGAAAAAAGACGTGGCACACTGACCTTTGACACATTTAATGAAGTCCAACTCCTAGCAACCCTCACAAAGCTCAGAAAACACAAAGCCCCTGGGAAAAGAGGCAGGAAGGTTTTCAGGCCTCTTAGCAATCCTCATGCAGAACGTGAGAATCGGATCTGTGCCTCAATCTCTTCCCACACTCTGAGCATTTATGAGGTAAAACGGCAGAGCCCATCCTTGCTTTCTTCCCTGTGACATCAATTTGAGGGCTTCAAACATGGCCAAAGCTCCTTCCACCGTCCAAGCATTTTTAACATTTCTTCCTGATGAGGGTAAGACTGCAGTGTAGAGTCAAGCTTTCTTCAAGAGTTTATATAGCTTCAGTGCTTTATATGGTCTCTAGTCTTTTAGGTGTGAAATAAGAGAAAAGGAAGTTTCTCACCTCTGTGGGTTCTTCGATGCAGTTGAAGAGTGCCAGAAAACCTCAATGTCCTTCCACACAACTAAGCGTTTTAAGGTTTCTACACTGTGTGCACAACTAAGCGTTTTAAGGGTTTCTACACTGTGTGTATTCTCTGATGCAGTTGAAGATTGCAACTCTGACTGAATTTTTCTCCACACACTGGGCAATCAAAAGGTTTCTCCCCTGTGTGGGTTCTTCGGTGGTGTTGAAGAGTGCTACGTTGACTGAATCTCTTTCCACACACGGAACATTCAAAGGGTTTCTCCCCTGTGTGGGTTCTCTGATGCTCCTGAAGATGGCTACTTGAAATGAATTTCTTTCCACACTGTGAGCATTCAAAAGGTTTCTCCCTTGTGTGGGTGCTTTGGTGCTGTTGAAGAGGGCCACTCTGACTGAATCTCTTTCCACACTCCAAGCAATCAAAAGGTTTTTCCGCTGTGTGGTTTCTTTGGTGCCGTCGAAGAGTGCCAGGCCGACTGAATCTCTTTCCACACACTGAGCAATCAAACGGTTTCTCCCCAGTGTGGGTTCTCAGATGCTGGTGAAGATGGCCACTCGTAATGAATTTCTTTCCACACTCCGAGCATTCAAAAGGTTTCTCCCCTGTGTGAATTCTTCGGTGGTTTTGAAGATTGCCACTCCAAGTGAATTTCCTTCCACATGTGGAACATTGAAAGGGCTTCTCCCCTGTGTGGGTTCTCTGATGCTGCTGAAGAACACAGTGATACCTGAATCTCTTTCCACACTCTGAGCATTCAAAAGGTTTCTCCCCTGTGTGAATTCTTCGGTGGTTTTGAAGATTGCCACTCCAAGTGAATTTCCTTCCACATGTGGAACATTGAAAGGGCTTCTCCCCTGTGTGGGTTCTCTGATGCTGCTGAAGAACACAGTGATACCTGAATCTCTTTCCACACTCTGAGCATTCAAAAGGTTTCTCCCCTGTGTGAATTCTTCGGTGGTTTTGAAGATTGCCACTCCAAGTGAATTTCCTTCCACATGTGGAACATTGAAAGGGCTTCTCCCCTGTGTGGGTTCTCTGATGCTGCTGAAGAACACAGTGATACCTGAATCTCTTTCCACACTCTGAGCATTCAAAAGGTTTCTCCCCTGTGTGAATTCTTCGGTGGTTTTGAAGATTGCCACTCCAAGTGAATTTCCTTCCACATGTGGAACATTGAAAGGGCTTCTCCCCTGTGTGGGTTCTCTGATGCTGCTGAAGAACACAGTGATACCTGAATCTCTTTCCACACTCTGAGCATTCAAAAGGTTTCTCCCCTGTGTGGGTTCTTAGGTGCTGCTGAAGAGTGCCACTCCAACTGAATCTCTTTCCACACTCTGAGCATTCAAAAGGTTTCTCCCCTGTGTGGGTTCTTTGGTGCAGTTGAAGATTGCCACGCATACTGAATCTCTTTCCACATATGGAACATTCAAAGGGTTTCTCCCCTGTGTGGGTTCTCTGATGCTGCCGAAGAACACAGTGGTAACTGAATTTCTTTCCACACTCTGAGCATTCAAAAGGTTTCTCCCCTCTGTGTATTTTTTCATGCACAAGGAGCTGTGATCTATTTCTGAAATACTTTCCACCCTGAATGGATGTACTTGCCCTCATTATCCTGTGCTTTGGAAAACACACATTACGCTTTCTTTCATCTCGCTTCTCGACCATACGGCTCCCTTTCTTTCTGTTAGGTTTGACTCGGTTCCTGACGTCTTCTTTCAAGTCTTCATTCTTAACTCTATCTGGCATCTGCTGATGAAGTTCCTCACCCTCGTCATTCCTCTGGTCATCCTCTGCTGGAATAAACAGAGAGATCCTGTTAGCACCTGGGAGGCTGGTAAGGTCCAAAGGCATCTACGTGACTGCAACAGGAAAAAACTGACGGTCCTCTGGCGACGTCCCGCTCGGCTGTTCTTAACATCCC